TACATCTGACCGAATCTAATAAAACTGGCCCTATAGACCAACACTAGTCTTTCTGCACACTTTGAGGTTCTTTGCAAATAGGCTCTCAGAAAAGAAGGGAACCCTTGTTGATATGAGTCTATAATTCCTATCAAGTCAGGATGTCACACACACACCTCATAGGAACCATCATCCTTGTCGGCCCAGCAAGAACATTCCCCCTTAGGACATATCTATGTGCGCCAGTGCCAGCATCCACATGTGCCCATCTCATGTGGGACAACAAGCCTCCCGCGCCATGAGCATGTCTGCGCCAATGACCTACACATGCCTGTGTAACCGCGAGGGTGGGCTCTGACACAATTTGTAATGCCTCATCCATAGCCATTTGTTGCTGGTCTTTACACCTAGCGGGATCTAGACTGTCCCTACACCAACACTAGTCTTTTCCGCGCACTTTGTCCTCACTCGTGCACAGCTGAGATCAACCTCCTAGCCGATCAACCCTCCTCAAATTGCTCCAAGCCAAGCACGTTAAAATTTTAGGTTCCTTGTGAATAATCTCCCAAAAAAGAAGGAACTCCTTGTTGATATGAGTAGTCTATTGTTCCTATTAAGTCAGGATGTCACATTCGACTCCAGCCAACAATCCGCAGGATGATTGGCGCCCACCTTTTCTTGTTTCCAAACACATCAAGTGCTACTAGTGTCAGGGGCTGGGTGCGACATATGCCAAAGGATGGCTTATCATGGTGGGAGCGAGTAGAACATCGCCGGTGCCTGGAAGCGGGATAAGGCGTAGACATGTACGCCGGCAAACTTTACCCAGGTTGGGGGCTTTCCGTGGAGACAATACCCCTACTCCTGCTCTGCGGGGTCTCCGCATGATCACTAAGGCACTAGTGATACAAAGTGCTCCTTGAGCTGTGTCTAGAGGTAGGAGAAGGCAAGGCTAGCTCTTCCCTGCCCTAGGTAACTGGCTAGTTCTATCAAAGTTGGAACCCTTTGCATGGGTGGCCTGGGGGGCTTATATAGGCCCGCCCCCCAGGGGTACAATCGTAATCGGGCCGGCTGCTGGGGCCCGTCTGTCAGCATCTCTAGCCTCCGGCTTCTCCATCGACTACTGGGGCCCGCCGCCTAGTGGGCCCTGCCGGCTGGTTGATGGCTGCTTACTGTGGCCGTGCTGTCTATGACGAGGACTTGGCCATCTTATCGTGGCTACAGTCCCGCCGGCTGGCGGGAGGTTACTGTAGCCACACCTGGTTTCATCAGGTTAATGGCGCGCTTGCCTCGGGGCAAGGGACGGCCGCCTGCTGGAGGCCGACCCTTCCCAAGTCCGACTGATTGGGCGCCTGCCGTCTTCGGGGGTGCCACTGCCTGGTAGGGCCTGCGACTGGCAGGCCGTACCGACAGGCCGTCGTGGGGAACAGGGTTCCGCCTACTTGGAGCGACGTCAGGGGAGCATGGCACGGTACCCCGCCTTGTGGAGATCTCCGCCTGTACGGAGCACTGTAGCCATGCCTGTCCCGTACGTGGGGGCGACGTGCTTCACTGTAGCCATGCTCTAGCTTGTACTCTTGATGGGGGCTCGGCTGCACCGAGGTCGTGAGGCGGCCGCCTGCCTAACGCCGCCCTCTCTGGAGGCCGGCCAGCTGGAGCCGGACGCTTGTAGTGCCGTAGGCTTGGGTTGGCCGCCCTCTGGTAGGCGGCCGTTGAGCCAGCCGACCCCCAGAGGGCGGAGCTTCAGCTTGGGGTCCAGCTAGACGGAGCTGGCCCAAAGTCTTGATAAATTCAGGGACTCAGGTGAGCCTACCCGTGACCCATTACTCCGACAACTAGTCTACCAAATAGCCCACTGATTAGCGAAAGTGTTAGTCTAATTTGAAGCACAAATGCATCTGCATGAAAAGTAAATTCCGAAAAATAGTAAAACAATTTTAAAAAATCATAAATTTATTTATGGGTGAACGTCAACAAGTTTTCTAACATTCTACAAATTTCGTCATGAAAAGACATCTGTAGAGGTGTGTGCGCCAAAAACACAAAAATGAATGCTCCAAGATGCGTCTTTTTGAGCCTCGGGTTTTGTTTTGTTTTGTACATGCCACCATGGATGTTATTTCAAGGTCGAAATTGGCATGATGTTAGAACATTTGCTGATTTTCATCCTCAAATTTTTCCAGTTTTATAATTTAGTTTACTATTTTTTACATTTACTTTTTATATAGATGTATTTGAGCTCGGGAGCAGATAATCCATGTCCAGGATTAGTAGTTACTCCCACCGCCGCATGTGTTAATTAAATCATGAATATAATTTTTATTTTATTTTATAGAAAAGGAGGATGTACCCTCGGCCACTGCATCCGAACGATGCATACAACCATATTATTAATTATTCAGAAAGACCATACAAGATGATACATCAATAAGCCTGAAGCCACCATCTTGGCAACACCGCTGCTACTCCTATGCCCTTGATGAAGGCGTGCCGAATGTCCGGGCCTAATACCAAGCAGACATCGCACTAAAGCCTAACATCTAAAGCCGGGTGTCCCCTCCAAGCCACTATCTGGATTGGGTCCCACACCGGTCAGGCACACTCCCAGTGAGCACCGCACGCTGCAAAGGTTGTCACCTCCATCATCCCTCGGTCCACTCCATCCTCAGAGCAAAACTTTTGCATCGACCTTGTTAGTCCTCTCTGCCATCAACGCCACCATGACGCCAGACAGCTTCTTCCTCCTGCGCGAGTCCATCTCCAAACGCGCCCATCGCCGAACCTCCACGGCGCCAATGCCGCCAGGATCCGCCATCGGCCTCGCGGTAGATGTAACACCGCCCCTCGTCTTGTCCCCTCCAGCCAGCGCGTGCTCCAAAACGATGCCCCCGGGAGGGACAACGGCATCGAAGGTGCCATCATCGTCCAATCCGGTAGACCCAGATCTAGGGTTTCCCTCGGAGCTCACACCGTCGCGGCTGCTGGAACCACGCGGCGCCCACCACCCATAGCATCTCTCGCTCGACCATCTGAGCCTCCCAGGACGGCGCCTCCCTGGAGGTTACGACGCGCAGGGCGCCGCCGCCGCCTAATCCAGACTGAATTTTGGACTTTCGTCCGGAAGGGAATTAGATGTGGATAGGAGGAACCTCGGTTTCGCCTTCAGGGAAGGTAACGGCGTCGAGGGCCGCCGCCGATATCGGGCCGGACCAGCCGGCCAAGATTTTCTCCGGTCCACAACCTATACCATCAAACCTCCGACTATTCATGAATAGAAAATAGCCCACAGATTAGTTTTTCGTTTGAGAAAAGCCCACAGGTTTGTAGTTACTCCTATCGCTACACGTGTTAAATCATGAATAGAAAATAGCCCACAGGTTAGTAGTTATTAAATCATGAATAAATTGCAGAGGAAGTTCGGGTTCTTCCTATCATGTCTGTGTGTAGGAAAGCAAATGCGCACCACTTTGGGGAGAAAATTCTAGATTATGCGTGACAATGATGGCAGGGACTCTTGATACTCGAGTTGCAACGCACTTATATTAGTTATCTGCTTCAAGGGGGACTTGCTGTGGAAGCAAGGTTCGAATCTACACTTGTTGTGTTGCAATGGTTCTGACGAGTGTTAACCTGTGCTCTGCTCACCCATCTGCTGTTTCTTCCTGTATTTTACTAGCTCTATTCATCAGTATTAATCTACACTTGTTGTGTTGCAAATGTTCTGGCGAGTAGTATTGTATTTATCGCTCACCACCTGGCACATCTCAATATTAATTGCTGTCAAATCACCAGCAGCATCACCACATCATTATCACCTGCCCCAGCCCGTGCTCAGCACATCGCCGTTGCTTCCGTTGGTGGTCGACACAGGTGCATGCCAGTATATTTTACTCCCTTCATTTCAAAATATAGTACGTCCGCGTTGGCCGAGATTTAAATTTGACCATAAATTTAACCAACGAGATTGACAGCGGCGGTAGAAAAATTTATATAATTAAAAACTTCTTTTGAATACGAATTCACTGATATAACTTTTGCTTCCGCCGGAGTCGGTCTCGTTGAAAAGTTGAAGCACAGGAATAGAGGAAACACTATATTTTGAAACGGAGGGAGTACGATTCTTAGAGCAAGTATAATAGAGCTGAGTCAGCGGGTTATAAGAAATAAACTAGTATATTTCTGCTTAGTTGGAGGAAAGAGAAAAGGAGAGAGAAGGTAAGCGGGCTCTAGCCGGCTCTTCGTGAAGAGCCAGCTCTAGCACGTGCTCCTAGGCACTTTGTGAGAATGAAAGGTGGGTTACATAATAAAAAAATAGTACACTCTTTTAATTTATTATTGTACTACCTCCGTTAATAAGTAATTCGCGTAGTTCTAGATCATTGATTTGAGGAATTAAATATATATTATATATCATGAAAAATATATCACTAGATTTTTACACGGATATAGTTTCTAAATATATATATATATTTTATCACATATAATACATATTTAGATAGTTAAATCGCCGACATAGATCTATGCGAATGACTTCACCGAAACAAAGGTAGTACATGTTGGCTATAAGATGGACTGTAGATGACATGGCACTGGCTTATAGCCAGCAGTTGGCTATACTATTAACCATGCTCTTAGGCTGGCCATAGTGGGAGTAACATAAGTAGTATCATGCACTTGGGACTCGCAAACATGCTTATGTGGCAGGCAATTCAAGAAAAGAGAGATGGTTATAGTAACGTAATAAATGTGATGGTACTATGTGTCATGCATGACAATAAATAAGACCATCTATGATACTAATCTATAATACTATGCACTATAAAGGTAATAATATAGATCAGTAACATATGCATGTTACTAGTCTAAGTTGCTTCCCACTAAGTGGTGATCTTCCAATTCTACTGCGGCCACTTTGTGGACGCCAAGCGTCTTTATATGCCCATCACTCCTCTCCACCCTCACCTCTCACCACTGCACACAAGTCCTTGGACTGAAGTGGTCACCTCCTCCTCGGCTCCACCATGCTTCCCAGGATCCAGAAAAGCATCTTCCATCTCGGAGAGGAGGTTGGTTATGGCCACCCCGGTGCTGATCACCATGGAGATAACATCGTTGCCATCCAGCAGCACCTCGGGGGACACACCCAAGGCCGCCGGCTGCGGCGAGGAGGGCGAGACCCCGCTGACGTCGTCGTCGGGCTGCAGATCCTCGTCCAGCACCACCCGCAACCGTGTCATGTCGTTCTCAAGCAGATGGTCAGCTCGCCGCCGGCCCGCCGCCGCCTTTCTGGCAGCTTCTCGGGGGCCTGCTTCCTGTGCCGGAGGGAGCTCAGTCCCGACAAAGACGTGTACATGTACAGGTACTACTGCAGCCTACGTGCAAGCTCGTGATCTGAAGTTTTCAACCGCTGAGGCTGAGGCAGCATCGATCGGAAGGCTTCGTGGTTGGCCGCTTGGCGCATGACTGATAGTTTGTTGTGCTTACAGGGGTGACCAGGGGTTCTGCAGCGAGGAGTGCCGGGGACAGCAGATCTTGTCGGACGAGGCGAGAGAGCACGAGGCCATGATCAGCAAGGAGCGTCGAGGTCTGGCTCACCGTCGTCACCACCACGGGCCACGCCCGGCGCCGCCGGGGGCGATCCGGGGCGTGCCGAGGAGATTACTGGCGGTAGCCTAGCCTGATTATGCATAATAATGCATGCACGAACATGACATCCATGAACAAATCGATCAAGAACCTATGATGCTGGAAAGTTAATTACAAGTAATCGAGGGGCAAATCAAGGAAACCAATATGCGTATTTGCATGTATGGCGAGGTGAGGGTGAGAAACTGAGAATCTTGAGATGGTATGAATATGGTAGAGAGACGTTGAAGCAGGGTGCATGTTTTTTCTTCAGGCTGGTTAGTTCAGATCTGTAGTCATGATGCAACAAATGTAATCTGCTCCTGGCCGCCTGTTAATATGTGCACATCCGGTTAATTCTAGATGGGAGAAAGTAAAAAAAAAAGAATAATTGGTACACGAAAATTTGGTGGGATGCTGCTGCAAAATACCGTATTTGTGATCAAAGTGTTAAACTCGTGGTGTGATCCTGAACACAAGTTAGTCGTACGTAAATCTCAGGGTGCTAGAATTTGATGCCAAGAGGAAGCAAGGGATAAAATGATGCTCTGGCATCTAGCAGCTTGATGGGGAGCACAAATGGCACCAGAATGGAATCTTCTCTGGAGCTAGAAAACGACTAACAAAATGAGAAGCAGCCATAAGACCGAAGATCTGCAGAGAGGGAGGAGCCTAAAGGACACGGACCGCTTCACTTAATTATTTATTTCGTGGGGGGTCGACAGAGATTTACTAGTTTTTTTTATATAAAGGGGTGGATTTTATTAGCTCAAGATGAAGCATCAAAAGGATACATAACACCATGAACACACACCCGGCCTCTGCATAATTAGGATGCACACAACCAATCCAACACACACGTGCAAAAACACACCGACAGTAGCAAAGTCATAAGACCAAAAGCTATGCGTAGGCGAGGAAAAAACCAGTGTGATCTGATCAGCAATCGACAAACTACAACTACGACCATAACCGAACCAATCATTGACACTACATGGATGACGAGGTTCTTCAACAACAACGCCTTCAGAAAGGGAGCTACAGTTCAACGCCGTTGTCACTGGATCCAACCATAAAGGCTAGAATCAAAGTTTTCACCACGAAGAAACAGCCTGATCATATCTGATCAATGACCCCAACAAGGTAACGACGTAAAAAAACATCATCATTGACAGTTATAACCATTCGGGTCTGAACTAGGCTTTCGCCCAGGAGCTCAAGACCGGTGCTCGAAGCACCCCCATCAAAGTCACACATGTGTTGTCGCCACCGCTTTTCTGCAATCCCAGCAGCTATAATTGAATCGCCACCAGACCACAATCATCCCTCTGTGTCAAGTCGTTGTTCATAGTCTGTATCACATCACTGAAGTCATCCAATAGATCAAGAGATAAAACCTCCAAAGTTTTTTCGATGACCTCTCATTGTCGTGGATCCATAGAAAGTTGTCGCAGCTCATCGCCACAACCCCACATGTCCAGTGCAACGTCCACACGGGCCATCATTAGGGCGTCATATCATGGTGGAATCGACCTGACTCAAGCCCACCGCGGCACCAGCACCAGCCGGGACAGATCTCTTTTTTTAAAAAAGGAAGCTGACCTTCCGGCCTCTGCATCAGATTTACTAGTTGGACATTCAAATTACAGAACTGCGTGCATTTAATTTTACAAATGTTAGACCGAGTATTAGACCAAAGGCAGAGATCCAAGCTTTATTAGAAAGCTAAGATAAAGGAGTTGCAGGCTTGTATAGTAGGACCATGTTTTACTTGAGAGTATTTTGCATGATCTCTTACCCTTTGTTTTCTAGGGTTGCATGGTCTCTTATCCTTTTGTGCACTCTCATTGGGGCAAGCAACTGGGCCAGGATCAAGTATCTTAGGCCAACTCCACCGCGCGACCCCAAACGGACGTCCGGATTGGCCCGAATTTGTCCCTTTGGGGTGCCGATGGGTACGTCCGTGTCTGGCTGTGTCCGTTGGGTCGTGCGTGCGTCCATCGCACGGCCGCACCCCAAATCGTGTCCGGGGTGGACGGGAATAAAAATACTATAAAACTAGAATGAAATAACTAAAAAAGCAAATAAACGCATTTAAAAAAACATAAAACATATATAGGGGTCGGACACAAAACGGCCCAGTTTCAACGGCCACCTAAAAGGCCCAGTTTCATAATTAACATAATAAGAAAATTAAAAAAAACTCCTCCCGCGCGCTCCTACCATGCCCGTCGGTGCCGTGGCCGTCGCCGTCTTCACTGGCCGCCGGTGTCGTCGTCGTCGCTGACGAGGTCGACGTACTCCGGCGGCGTCTAGAGGTGGGGCGGCGGTGCGTGGTAGACGGGGCCGGGCTGGACGGCCGGAGGTGCCTGCACCACCTCCTCCCGCGGCGACGCCTCCCGCTCCGGTGACCGCGGTGGAGTGGGGCACCAGTTCACGCCCAGGTCGGCAGCCATCTCCGGCGCAGTGCAGGACCAGCCCCACCCCTGGCCCAGGAGCTGCTCGAACGCGGGCGGGTCCTCCTCCATCGGCTCCTCCGTGACGGCCGCCGTGACGGCCGCCATGACGGCAGCCAGCTGCAGCTCCGGGAAGGCGACGTCCCCGGCGGCAGAGAGGGCCATGGCCTCCTCCAGGCCGTCCCACTGCCGCTCGTCGTGCGTGTTCATGGAGTCGTACATGACACGCTGCAGGAGACGGGCCTCCTCCTCCGCTGTCATGCGAGGAGGGGGAGGGGGCGACGAAGACGGGGAAGGCGACGGCGTGGGCGTCAGGCCGCGCACCCGCGTATGCCCACACGGCTCTACACGTGGCTTCCGCGGCCCCGACACGGTGCCGGCGAAGTAGGACGCGCGCCGCACGTCGTTCTCGTCCTGGAGCCATGTGTCCCAGAGCGGGGAGTCGGGGGCATACCTGTGGTCGTAGTACAGGTCGTCGGGGAGGAGGCGGCGGCGGCGGTTGATCTCATCGCGCCGTGCACGGCCGGTCACCGGCACTGACGGGATAGGGACCCGGTCCGCGGAGAGGTGCCACCCGTTGGGGAGGTGGGCGTCACTCCACGGGACCGGCGTCCTCGTCTCCCAGTACCTCCAGCACACGTCCGCGCAGATGTACTGCCGGTCGCGCTCGCCGGAGGGCCTAGGGGCAATGGTGAAGGGGGGCGGCGCGGGGGCTCGACGGGAGGAGTGCGGCGGTGACGCGGGGGCTCGACACGAGGAGCGCGGCGGTGACGCGGGCTCCTCCTTTTTCACGGATCCACGGCGGCGGCTGGAGGAGGAGCCGGCCTCGCGGTCGTGCTTCCCCTTGCGGTTCCACAGACCCATGGCTGCGGCCGGCCGGCGAGCTCGAGGGCGGGGAGTGGCTAGGGTTTAGGCGTGTCGACTTTCGAGGGGGCAGAGAGGGGCCGGCGTGGGGATGAGGACGACGACCGGTCCACGGGTCCCATTTAAGAAGGACGCCGACTCGTCGCTGTGCGGATGACAGGTGGAAGCGCCCGTCCGTTCACATTTATGTTGGCGGGTGGGAGGTAGGTGGCCGCCTGCCACGCGGCCCCGACGCGGACGTTCGAAGCGTCCGTTCGCTGTCCGCCGCGACCCAAACCCGGCGCAAGTTTGCGCTCGAAATGGGTCGGCACGGACACAAAACGGACCAGATGGGTCCGGGCTGTTGCGTGCTGGGCCGTCCCATTTGTCCCTTTTATCCCAAACGAATGGGACTGGGCAAGATAAAGTCGCGCGGTGAAGTTGGCCTTACTACTACTTTCATGGGCCCCTCAGCCCCTCAGCGTTAACAAAAACAACTTCCATGATAGAAAAGAACACCGTATCTGTTATGTGCTTCCATAGTGCTGTATGGATAATATCCAGTAGTTTTCTAAATGAGTGAATAATATCTGGGTAGGTTCTTAATGATGTTTTAGTGCTTTCTTCTGCTGTTGGAGATAACACTGCACCGTAGATGCAGTGCGCCAGTGTCTAATTGAATCACATATTCAATCAGGAAACCCTTTTCTAGAGGAAAGGGAATGTTTCTGCCAATCATCTGGTAAAGCCACCATTTTCAGCATAAGAATGTTAAGCAAAGGATCACTCGTACGCTCGACAGTCTGTTAAACCAGTCTCCCATACCAGCACAGTTCTTTATCAGGGAGGCTTACTAAAGTACTACCTCTGGCTGGGCTTATTGGGCCGGAGGGCATCGTAGGCATGTCCATTTTTTAAGGCTGCTTGTTAAAGAAAACTGTTCATTTTTCTGGAATTCCCTATTTGCTGTGTTATGCGGCAAACTGCCAGCTCTTGGGGGACCTCATATGTGCCGCATTTTGCGGCAAATAGCAAGCGCACCACACAAGACGCGTGCGACTGGGCCGGCTGTGGGGACCCCGACTCATAGGTCGAGATCACCGAATGCACGTGTACAGTGATCCCAGAGATCAATGCTTACTGAACACGCGGAAACTGAATAACAAGAGTCTTACATCAATATATACTATCTTACACAAGTTATGACCATTATGGTCATATGTTACATTGATAAAGCCTTAAGGGCTGAACATCAAATGAAACACAAGCAGCGGAGATCTTCGTTGATAAGTAGAACCCATGCCATCTGCCTTAACCCTACAGGCATTCTGACTGGGAAGCGTCCTAGTTCGCGTGTTCGTCACCAAAGAACTCTTCCTCGAACTCCTGTTCTTCCATGCCTGGTTAATTAAATAACTAGTGGCAAGCCAATGAGTACTTTGAATGTACTCCCAAGCAACCCATGATTTGGTTCAAAGTAACAATGCAATTGTACAACAAGTAAGCTACCTAGCTTCACGCTAGTTGAGAAGTCCTATCAATTTGTGAGATATGCATCAATGGACATGGGTAACCTTGAGAACAGGTTACAGATATCAACATAAATAGAGTTTGGATCAATGCCATTTCATTCAACATGTCAAGACACCACCTTGACACAAATAGTTCTCTTCCACACACACATGCACCGAGATTGTAAAATTTCTGGACATAGTTTAAGTAGCACCTCCCAACTGTCCATGACCGTGGACA